TATATATATATATATATATATATTATAATAGTATTATATACATAGTATTATATAAATATAATATATATATGTATTTATTTATTTTTAAGATTAATAATTTTATACTATGAAAGTGTACCGTGGTATAAAATTATGACAATTCTTCTTTTTTTTTTTTTATGAATTAACAAGTTCAACCAAAAAGTGTGCTTACTGCTTATCATGAATATAATTTCTTGGATATTTAAATTTTTTATAATTTATGTATGTTTCATTATTATTTTTTATTTTTTATAAATTAGCATTATGTATATTTTAAACCAGGCACACAAACAAACAAATACATACATATTCAAATTAATCAGAAATGAAAACGGCAATGTTTTAAACATGTTTACTTAGCTAAATTGAAATACTGCATAGACTTTATTGTTTTTATATATCTTTCTTATACAGCTAATTATAAATACTATAACCTAATCCAAACCATAAGCCTAACAGAAAACTTTCTGCATTTTTCCAGTTGCAAAAAAATCTTTATTTACCAGTTTTACAAATGAGAATGTGTCCAAAATGGGGTTTATGGCGATTTTGTCAGGTTAAGCTCACTTATGGGTACAAACACACACACACACACACACACACACACACACACACACAAAAGTGTCAGAAATTAAATATTATTAAATATTATAACCTAACCCTAATCCAAACCATAACCCTAACAGAAAACTTACTGCATTTTTACAATTCTAAAAAATCTTTCCTTACCGATTTTATAAATGGGAATGGGCCCAAAATGAGGTTTATGGAGATTTTGTCAGGTTTAGCTCACTTATGGGTACAAATTTGTTCCCAAAATATGGTTAAGCAGGTACACACACACACACACTCACCAGCATCTGCTCAAACAGCTCCAGCACAGACTCGTCTGACAGCTCGTTCAGCGAGACGCTCTGGGACGGAACTTCATACTGGGCGGCTGACGAGTGTCTGATTCCCATCGTGCCCGACTTCTCCTTCTCCTTCTTCGTCCGCATGCTGGTGAAGCGCTCCAGCTGACACAGGGTCAAAGGTCAAAGCTCAGAACACAGCAAAAACACATTGGAGGATTTTACACTCCGTCTTAGTCACTGCATGTTCAGAATGGCATACTAACATCCTACATGCACAGTTTATGAGTTTTTAGCATGCATGGACTCAAATGTCTTACTGCATTTGGCAAAGACGTAGAATATAACAAAGAAGAATGCAAATCTGACCTTCCATTTGCAGTGCACACTGTGCAGTAAATAGTATGCCAGTATTTCATTCTGAACACAGAAACCGTTTAATTGACAGAACATGCTCTGCTGGGAACAATAAACTGATATCATCTCAATTTTAATTGTCTTTATATGTTTATCTCATCGAGTCTGTCAATCAACAAGAACAAAAGGCATTTAAGGATATTCCAGATCAATCCTGAAATACGGCTCCTCTGAGGAACCTTTTCAAGTCGAGACAAGAGTAAAGCAGCAGAAACATCTGAGATACTTACACATCCTCCATCACATTCAATACAAAACAACAGAAGCTGATATAGAACATCTCGTTAATAATCATAATTATCTTTATTATAGCTGATCATAAAGGCTGACAGCCTAAATCGATACTATTTTGCCTGTTTTTTTAAAATGCAAAAAGTACACAAAGTATCAGAGAGTCTTGAAAAAAAGTAAAGATCTATCCTATGATAACAACATCCTTTAAAAAAAAAAAAAAAAACATCTTGATTTACACATTTTTTGGATGACCATGACACAGTTTTTAATTTAAAAAACATTTTGATTGATTGGAATTTTTTTTTTGATTGATTGACGATTAAATATGATTTTTTTTATATATTATTAAAATGTATTTTTAAAGAAGTTAATGGATTCAAAAATATTTACCAAAACATTCATATTTATTTAAATGAAAATCTCATAAATTAACAGATCTGCAAAATATTGTTGATCCAAATAACCAATTTGAATACATTTGAATCTGGGCAAAGATTTTTTTTTTTTTAATTTTTAAACTTAAAACAAAAAAATAAAAAAATAAATAACAAGCACAACAATAATAAGCAAGCAAGCATGTAAAGTAAAAATGTAACAGAAGTTTAAAAAATTTTTAAATTTGTAAACATTTGCAACAAAATAAAGTTAGAGAGCAAGTAAATAAAATAAATAAGTTAATTAATTTGTTAATTAATAAATCCTGATATTATTTTATTTGTATTGGTCTGACTGGGTCAGTATTGGAAAAGTAAAAAAAAAAATTGAAGAAAAAACATATAAAACTATATTCTTGAAGCATTATACGTGCTGCTTAATTATATTCTTAGCAGCTGCTCTCTTATTATATTAATCTTGTGTGTAGACTATCCTCATTACATGATTCTGCTTGATACAAATATGAATCCATAGACATTTGGCAAGATGCATTTTGGCAAAGTTTTAATTTGGCCTGCTGCTGAAACATCATGACAACTCTTCAGACAAACACAAACACACATGTGAGCGTGGCGTCACACGCTTCCTCTGGCTGTGACAGGAGTGAGTGTGTGTGACGTCAGATCAGTTTCTGAGACACACAAACACTGATCTGAGGTCAGCCGTGAGGCAAAGTGTGCGCTACAGACACATGGTGCAGGGTGAAGGGTTAAAGGTCATGGTGGTTATGTCAGTGGCGAGAGACGGGGAAGAGTGTTAAAACACACAGAACACACGTGTGTGCACCTACCTCATCAGGAATCAGCCGTTTGAGAGTCTGTACAGGGAGCAGGAAAGAGAAAAATCAACACTAAATACAGAGAAAGACAACAAAACTGTCAGAGAGAGAGAAAGAGAGAGAGGAAAACGGGTGGAAAAGAAAGAGAAGGAAAAGGAAATAGAAAAGAAAAGGAAAGGCATCCTGGGCCATAAACTAATCAGAATCTATTTAAAAACTATATTAATGCAATAGAATTTCTATATTATTGAATTTGAGACAGAAAAAAAAAAAAAATTAATTTCAGACATTTTCATCTCACATTTTCTAAAAACTAGAAACTTCTGCTGTTAAATGGAGATTACACGGTAGGGCTCCACGATTTGGAGGGTGGAAAAAAATCAATATTGCACAAGCATAATCCTGCCACACGAGGGCAGAGCAGCTCAGCAAATAAACATCAGCGCATCACTTCCTCTTCCCAGGAAATCAACAGTCACCTGCTTATAAACAGGCGTTTCTATGGTGACCAATCAAAACAATGCAGATTCTCCAAATGTTACTTGAGAATCTGAGGGAGAACATGAAATGCAATAAGAGACATGACCTTTGACCTCACAAAACAAAACCAGCAGGGATCACATGACCTGTGGCACAGAAATGTGGATAACATTGTCACAGGTATGTGTACATGAAATACTCATATCGCCACAGAGAGATAAAGAAATATCAAAATATCACTAAATATCAGTTCAAATACTACTAAACTTTATTCCTTTAATATATTATTTCTATTTAATCTGCAGTTATTTAATAATGTACTACAGATATATATTTTTAATGGAACTATTCACCATTTCCCACTGTTAACATCTACGCTGGAAACACTGATACTGCCAATGTGGTTTTGTCATGCCAATAACATAACATAACAACATAACACACATATATGTTATATGTTATAACATAAAATATATAACATAACACATAACATAACATGCATATATGTTATATGTTATAACATAAAATATATAACATAACAACATAACATAACAACATAGCAAAATAAAATAACTGAGCATAACAACATAAAATAAAATAACTAAATAAAATAAAAAATTCTATACAAATATATTAAATTAAAATTTTAAATTAAAAAGAAATAATAAATGAGTAAATAAAAATTAAATAGAATTAAAATTAAAAATATATAATAATAAACAGAATGGCAACTGTCCACTGACTTCACCAGTAGTCAAATGACACAAACTCTAGGTAAACGTGTGGAGTGACCATCAACATCCCAAAACTCACTCAACCTCCTTCCTCCTGCTCTCAGATACTCAGATCCAACTACCTGTGTGTGTGCGCGTGCGTGTGTGTGTGTGTGTGCTCAGACTATGACACATGCTTTAAAAATATAATCAATTCTCTCAATTACTCAGAAACACACTCAAACTAGGGATGTAACGATTAACCGCGAGCCGGTTGAAAATCGATTTAAATATGTGACAATTCAAAACGGTTGAGATGCTAAACAAATCGCGATTCAATAGGGGAAGGAGTTTATATGAATGTATGTCTGAGGGGAACTTACTGTCTTTCGATGGTATTTTTTTCTTTTAATCTTGCCTCT